TATGGTACAAATTGATCAGGCTAAATCTCTATGGTACAAATTGATCAGGCTAAATCTCTATGGTACAAATTGATCAGGCTAAATCTCTATGGTACAAATTGATCAGGCTAAATCTCTATGGTACAAATTGATCAGGCTAAATCTCTATGGTACAAATTGATCAGGCTAAATCTCTATGGTACAAATTGATCAGGCTAAATCTCTATGGTACAAATTGATCAGGCTAAATCTGTATGGTACACATTGATCAGGCTAAATCTCTATGGTACAAATTGATCAGGCTAAATCTCTATGGTACAAATTGATCAGGCTAAATCTCTATGGTACATTTAGTGCATTCTGTTCATCAGTTATGAATGTACAGTGTAGGTTATAATCTTGGTGTAGAACATTCCAGTTTTTTAAGTTTGGCATTATTCTAGAACTTTGATCATGCTTGTTCCTCAGGTGTAAGAAGGAAAACTCTAGGAAAAGGAAGAGTGACAGAAGAAACAATGATAAAGAAGAATGGGAACACTTCATTAACCAACATCAGTTAGAGGTGTGGAGGAGGCCTATTAATACCACTGGGCTTTATGAATACAAAGGTAAGAGCTGTGATCGGGCATACAACTTTAATTACCAACTACATTGTGGTGTATTCTTATTGTCTGAAACAAAGACCTTTTTTCATTGAGGAACCAGCAACATTCAACACAACTGTAGGTTCTAAGGAAGTTCTTGAAATACCTTTCCACAGTCTATACGACACTGTATATGTTTGAGGTACATTTTTTTTATAGTTGTGGTAGTTAACTTTCTAAAATAAATACTTAGGTGAGGTTGGAAATTCTAGGTGATCGTCTAAGTTTCTTATTCGTGGTTATCAAAGTTGCATTTAAATTTCAAAAACAGAAATGTATTGACTTCTGCTATATTTAATTTACATGTTTTAACTCAGTTTTCCTCACAGTTGGGTTTTACATGATTTCAGCATGCTCCTCAAAGAGTGAATGGGTTTTTAACAAAATATGTCATATTGAAATGAAAATTATCATTTTACAATTACATGTACATTAACTTCTGCACTGTAAATATTTTTGAAACTTCTGACCTTTACATTTCTCTCTTCTCTTTGTAGTTTTTGGTACTTTCTTTGACATAAATGCAACATCCTTCTATAGAACTCAGGTAAGGAGAGGTTAATCAATTGAATAGTGTTCAACCTGTTAATTTCACAATTACTCTTAGTGATGAGGGTAACATACTCTGATGATAAAAACTAATAGAGTGTTACTGTGTTCAATTATTAAACATTTGTCCATTTGATGATAAACCACTCTATGACTTGATGACTTGCAAACAGTATTTGATCTCACATTGTGGTTGTAATCTTTCTCCAGAATCCTTCTTTCATTTGTCTCACACATTGGAATAGTTAGGAATTTAACCTTTCATGCGTTCAGAAATTCCCAGTGCTTGGCCGCAGTGTTCAGTTAGATACATGTACATGTAGTCAGAATCTCTTGAACAGTGTTAATTGTGATTTATTTATTATCAGGTTGATAATGAGTACCGTTTATGCTGGGACCAGTTTGTGTTAAAACTTGATGTTGTTGACTCTGACCCTGTGACTGGAACTGAAGTACTACACTGGGTCACAAAATTTCCTGTAAGTACAGCTGTACCTCATTTTTTATACCAAATTTTTTGGGGGGTTTTGTATTGTTTGTGTCTTTAAACTGGCTATTTACAAAATGCACTGTAGTGCAAACAATTTTTCAAGGCCCAGATGTTCAAAGGACAGATAATACTATCCTTGAGATAAGTGTTAGCAAACATACTATGACATCCATCAGATTGAGATTCGTCCTGAGGATAGGGTCATCCACTCTCCTCAAACAACTGGGTTCAGACCTTAATGTGATTCCTTGAAAATTAAAGTTATTGAACAAAATTCTTTTTAAACCTTTCCTTAAATGTTCCCTAACAATGTCTGTTTTGAAAAATACAATAAAAAAGATAGGTCACCAGGCTTGTTTAAGAGATACATGTATGATGTGCTAAACTTGGCCCATCTACACCTGTACTAGCATAAATATTGTGCATCATTTCATCACTTCATGGTACATTTTGCAGTTACTGTAAGCAAGGGTTTTTAACATGATGCTTGAAAAAAAAAAAGTTGATAGGTAGAAATTCAAGAGTATGGAACAATTTGAAATACATGTTTAACCCATTAATGGCCGCAGCTTTTGTGGAAAACTGTGTTTTGAAGCTAGTCCAGCAGATTTCGGGTCACTGTTGGGGTTTTAAAAGCTCGAACTTACCAAAAACCACTTGACAGCTCGTGCACTCGACGGCCTTTCGATCCAAATGCAAAATGGCGGCCTGAAAATCTCGGGCACGCGCAGAGAGCAAAATTTCGACATAGTTTTTGGGTTGAAAAGTCACGCCCCACTTACGACTTCTACTTTTCTCTCTTTCTCCTGCCCTTTTTTTCCCCTCTCCTTGCCTAAAGTTTCTCCTCACTTGCTGGAAATTGAGTAGGCTTCATTTTGGTGTAGAGATTTTTCAGAAACTACTCATTATTTTCAAAGCACATGCTCGGAAAGGTAGGTGGGTAGTGAAACACGATCTTCGTGCAGATTTTCCAGTCAAAGTGACACGGTTTTTTGGCTATTTCTCCAATCTCCTCCACTCAATTGCGCTCATTCTGGTATCGTCTGCAAGATATTTTCAACCCGTTCAAGTACATGCTCGAATTCGTGCTCCAGAGTTAAAATTGATGACGTCACAGGGCGTAGAAAGGGTGTGGGTCCCCATGGGCGCATACGGGCGCACTGGACGTTAATGGGTTAATTTGTGAAAAAAAAAACACAATTTTAAACAATATGGACTTGAAGAGTTCCTCAAGTCATTTCTTTGAAGGTTGTAATTTGCACCCTTGAGTAACAGGATTCATGCACATTTTTAGTGATATATATATTTTTTCCCTTTAATTTTTTTTTACTTCTCCAATTTCTAGGGGAAAATTTGCTCACCAAAATAATTATGCAATAAAGAATATAGGTCAGCATGTGCATTCAAAAGCTAAAGACCATAGTTCAGGATGCACAGTGCAATACTGAGGAATCACCTTAACTGTACCACTACAAATGTACATGCAGGTGTGCATGTTTAGTGACCATGAAGTTAACTTTAAAATGTCAATCTGCAGAGTGTATGAAAACTGTCCTTATTCATAGAGCATTATCAGTAAATTATTTAAGTTATTAAAATGATTGATCCAGACAACAGAGATGATAATTTGGAATGTTGTATCCAATAGTATTATTGTTAGCTTTTTTTCTTTTGTTATTTATAGTATCCATTGAGAAATAGAGATTATGTGTTTGTAAGAAGAGGGAAGGTAAGTTGATGGAGATGGTTTTACAAAAGGGTTTTAGTCAGTTAGAACTGCCAACCTTCACCCACAGGCTATGATATGTTCTCTCCTTTTCAGCAATCATTTTAAGAGTAACCCAGAAGGTTGACAGTAACCCCAACAGCATACAATTAATCAGTCAGTTTGAAAAAAAGAAAGAATATACTCAAGGAGATCTTTGAAAAGCTTAGAAAATAGGAAGAAGGTAAATTTATTAGTTACCGTGGTACAGTAATATTTATCCATTAAGATTTGACATACTTATGCCCACATTTCAGATTGATCATAATTCAAGGACAATGGTTCTGGTTTCAAGGTGAGCAACAGAGTAATGTTACATGTACCTTTTCTGTCAACATGATTTTGTTGTGTAGGGTAACCTTACATTTCTTTAAGAATGACCCACTATTTGTACCACAAGTGTTGCCTACTGATCTTCTGTGAACTCCATTAACATGTACAGGTACACATACCAATGTGTTTGTTGTTACAATAATATGACCACCTGTTAATTAAGCAATCATTTCCCTTAAATTCCCCCTGTACTTAGGTGCAAGCTGTAGTATACAAGCTGAATATAACTGTTTATTTCTGTGACATACTGAACATACCTGTTATGATATATCCAGGGCAACTTGTCACCCACTCTGCCCAGAGAGTAGTGAACATGTGCGAGTGCCAAGCTACCACTCCAGCATGGTGATTGTACCACATAAAACATTTGATGAGGTGAGACAAGCTTTTACGAATATGTTTCAGTAGTCATACATGTACAGTAAGGGGGTGGTTCAAAATTTTTCTTCAAATTTTTTTAAAAATATGAAACTACATGAACAAGGTGATCTTGCACATAAAAAAAAGATGAAATTTCAATTGAGTTAGTAGTACTGAATACATGTAAGAGGACCAACTACAACTGCTGTATTCTTGCCCTCTGCAAACTTTGTACTACCCACAATAGAAAAGTTGATTGTTTTCCTTCACAATTCTAGAACTTAGACCAACACGGTCACAATCAATTTCTTTTTTAAGTTCACATTTTGCATTGTTTACTTTGTAGGATGGCTTGGACTTTGTTCTGTCTTACTTTGATGATCCTAAGACGAACTTTCCATCTTATTGCATGAACGTTTTGACGAGCACAAGTAAGTGTGACTACAGTTACTGGAATCTGCTTTATAATATGGTTCCCCTGGGTTTTGATAATGCTGTACCTGGTAACCCTTTTCTTGCAAGGTCCTTATGTTTCTCTAAGGCTTCCAACATGTACATGCATTGGCTTGAGTTCATCCTACCTAGGATAAGAGTGCACATGTATACAGTCTAAGCGCAGGTCTCTGAATGTACTTGTTTTACCTCATTATAAAACTAATTTTTCAAAGAGCATGGCGAGTGAAAGAAAACAGGTCACATCATTTTAGTAAAAGAGTTTCCCGCTGCTTTTGTGCTACCATTTTATTTAGAAGTAGGGATACTATATAAATTATTTGAAGTTTTGAGTGAAATTTTTTTCAGTGACTCGTCTAGACTAGGAACAATACCTCCTCGTTGGCTTAGCCAAGAATTGAGTTGAAAGAAATAACTTGAAAATAAGCAACCACAGAGCAAACTTTTAGAGCAGAAGTTTGTGGTACCTCTGTATATTTTGGTGATACTTTTTTGACTTGAAATTGAGACTTAGCTGGGAGAGAAGGCTGACTCGCCTGCCCATGTCATACATTCACATGAACTCGTACATTTCTCAAGTTCAAATACAGGGAAAACCTGTTTATCTTGAATGATAACAATTTATCTTTCAAGTTTGTTTAGCCGAAGGCCTCATTTACCTTTCAATTGAGTTATTTATTCAGCCTTATTTATCTCTATAATTTTTGTTATTCACCATCCAGTAGGTCCGTATTGGGAAAAACTGTGCCCGAGTTCTTGAGTACCGTGATATAGGAACGCGCTAAGAACCCGTCAGATTGCAGAATTCGTTACTCTGAGAAAAAAAGAGATTTCCTTATTCTACTGATTTTGATTTATAAATTCCTTTTTTTGCAGATCTTCCAACCTTTATTGAAACACTGCATAATGCAGCTGCTGGTTTGAATCAACACCAGGAAAAAATGCTACAAGCCAGTTGAAACACTATTATCGCAACTTGACGACAAAATGAACATTAGAATTATGGAAACGATGTTGCGGAAAATTTAACTTTCAGCAAAGCCAGTTAAATATTTTCGCGAATCATAAATTGATCTACCTTTCTGCACTAGCTTGAGACAAGTAGGTTTGAAACTTTGAGGATGCACTGTGTGCAGAGTTGGGACGATTTATCAAGAGAGTTGTGAAGCTACCGTGGTTTCAAAGTATCTCACCTCGTAACGGTGTGTGGGATGAAAGCAGCCCAAAATAAAGACTATTTTGGAAAAATAAGAAAGTATTAAATAAGAAAACATTGTCCACTCAAAATGAAGTTATGTAGAAAAACGTACACTCTATTTTTGGTATAATGTTGATTAAATACAACTGCGGCACTCAAGACGCGTAGTGTTTTGTAGTGAGATTGTCCTTCGATAATTAAACATATTTTCTCGCGAAGGTACAGAGCTAGCTAAATGTGTTAAATATTAGTGGGAAATTGTATCAGAAGTTATTTTTAAAATGAATTATGTAATCGGAATTTAGTGCAACGACGAAACCGACTGCTTCTGATAACTGCAAGCAGAGCATGAAGACATACACATGTAATTAGCCCGACGTATATCACCTCTCGTCTAAAAAAGGAAAGAAGGGAAGAATAGAAAAACACTTAGAAGTGCGTTTGGAATGACCGTCCGAAGTAAGTATGACAGTAGCACGAAAAACAAAATTTCCGGAAACGGGAAGCTTCTGAAGCCAGCAGGTTGCCATTGGAAGGTATAGGTTAGAAGGTGTATTTTTTTTGTATGAACAACCAAAATTTCAAATATAATGGAGAATGACGTATTTATTTCACACTTCCAGTACTTAGAGGCTTACAATTTCTACGTTTCTTCGTGATAAATATTATCCCAAGACCTTACATCCCTTAGCGAGTTAAATATCCTGGCCTCTAAGGCGCTTTGCGGGATAAGAATTCGCTCTCAAGAGTCAAGTTGCATAGACAAAAAACGCGGAAACAGAGAGTGAACTACAAAGCAACGACGTGGAAAGACTACCTCGGACCTCAAGTTACTAGGTCGGAAGATGCGTTTTTAGATAAGGATCATTTGTTGGGGTTATAGAAGCCTTATTTTTTTTTTCACGTTGAACTCTTTACTTCGGCATTGGAATGAAAATCAACGCTCTCAAGACGGAATCACACACGAGTGAACATGTATACTAAATAAATAGCACGATATGTACTCTTTTCCTTCGGGGGAACTTTTACACACTGGAGACTTGTTCGTCTTCGCAAGCGATCTTGTGCCGGTGCCAGTCCATCGCTTGGCAGTCTCGGCTACAGTAACCACGCCTGTGACACGCAGAGCAATGGAAATGAGCTGCAGCACCACATGGACAAAACAGAAGCGCTGCTTCTGAAGATTGGAAAAGAAAAACAAATAAATTTAACCTTCTAATCAAAGATGGAAGCGAGAAACTTCGTTTCAATTCAAAATTCTCCAAAAAATGTTCAATTCAAAATGCTCCAAAAAATGTTCAATTCAAAATGCTCCAAAAAATGTTCAATTCAAAATGCTCCAAAAAATGTTCAATTCAAAATGCTCACTGGCGCCTTTATTTTAACCTTACCTTGGGTGTTAGCAAATCTGATGATTACCGACAAGTTATACATGCTCTTGGTTGTTGCCTCGCTGGATGGTTCTACATCAGCCATCATGGCGTCTTGAAATAAGAAAACTCGTCCAAGAAGGGTTTCCAAGAATTCCTTCTTGAGTATTTCTCGAGTGTCAGCAAGGGTAGCATCGCTAGGAAACTCGACGAAGCCGATTTTCGTGAAGGGCTTTCTTCCTTCTCCTTCCGCGACTGTGTTGAGGACATTCACGGGAAGTCTGACAGTGTATGACTCCTCTGTCGTAAAAAAGGATTGACACAGTTTGAAAAAAGAACTATTACAAACATTGTACACGGGCTGAGTTGTTTGGTAGAAGTTAAAAAAAAATTCTCCGTAGACTGCGTGGAGCAATGTTTACCTTGCCCTTTAACTCGCAGAAGTGATGAAGTTGTAACTTCTGCCCATGATATCCATACATTATCCAGCAAACAGAAAATGAGAATCTGACTCAAACTTATCAGGTAGACGTTGTGTTATCTTGATCTCACACGAAATTCTCGTAACTACTTTACAAGGAAATGTGAAACAGCTACATGTAGAAGGGACAGTGAACAATCAGAGCTTGGGAATTGAACGGTTAACTGTCGAAAATAATTTTGGATCACATTGTCAATCTATTGTTCTTGAGAATTTTTACACCCCGTGAGCCAACTAGAAGCGAAACGAAATGCAAAAGCAGTCGCTGAGTTGTCATATGCTTTTTCCTGCCCTTCAGACTGTTTGAATCATTGGTAATGAGTTTTCAAAGGAGTTGATATGCATAACCCTGATTATTGCTTCAGTTTTGGTATTCCAACACTCAAGCGAAAAGCGTCGTCGTCTGTTAACTCTTTGACCCTTAAAAGAGAGTGACTAACATCTACTTTCTCCTTTTAATATCACTCCTGAATCCAACATGAAAGTCATGGGAATTAAGGAAATGAACACTAACTTAAAGCTCCTGATTGTACAACAAATTCTCCTTGTCAGCACCTTATAAAATGTTTAGAGAACAGTATGGAGAATATGCATACTGATATATGGATATAAAGGGCGAAATTCTTACGCTTAGGCTAGAAACTAAGAAAATTTCAATTAAACTGAATAACCCACCTTCTACTGTGATGTCATTTCCGTCGTTACTGTTTCCCGCGTATCCAGGAGGAAGCAAAGTGACGTTCATTTTGGGTGTACTGTGACCGGAAGAGGGGCGGCTAGAATCACGAGATCTTGTTTGAGCTGCAAAGAATAAGACGGCTCTATAATATTGACGGCTCTATGTAATTGACGGCTCTGTGTTATTGACGGCTCTATGTTATTGACGGCTCTATGTTATTGATGGCTTTGTGTTATTGACGGCTCTATGTTATTGACGGCTCTGTGTTATTGACGGCTCTATGTTATTGACGGCTCTGTGTTATTGACGTTATGTTACTTTTGGACACCCATTTCAGCAGGCTACAACAACTTACGTGATTCTTGAGCCATCAGCCTCTTGTACAACACAGCTTTCTCAAAAATAAAATGCCTAGAGCTTTGGTCTTTTAAAGATTTCCTGGTGGGAGTACCCGAGTTAGCCGAAGATGGTGTCCCATTCCTTGTCAACTCTTCGTCTGACGAATCACTGCCAAAGGACGAACCATTTTGAGCTTGCAGTCGTAACTTTTGCGGTGATAGTCCTCGTTTTGGTGTTTGCGGGCTTAAATTAATCGGTGATCCTTCAGTTGAGGAGTTCTCTTGCACCAAGATTTGGCTGTCACTTTTCTGTATCACCGTCTGTCTACCAAGAATCGATGAATCTCTGATGTTGGCGTCGATTGTTAGAGACGAGAGTGGAAGCCGTGGAGTGCGCCTAACAAGCGCGGGAGAAGTGTTCTCCGACCACGCTTCAAAAGACGCCTGGGACGAGGCAGAATTCACTTTGCGTACCTTCCGCTTAGAAAAGTTACCTGTTTTCGCTGAGGTGTTTCTTGAAGAGGGCCTCGACGATGGAGGTGTTTCATTGTCCGACGACTCGAAACAGTCATTGGTTAATCCGCTGAACAGAATCATCTCGGTATCTCCCATCTTTTGAACCCTCTGCGAGGCTGAATTCGAATCGATCATGTTGATTTTCGATGCGCTTTTCCATGAATGTTTGCCTTTTGCTCGTCGAACACGTTTCCTACAGAAGAAGAAGGCCACTCCAGTGATAACACCAAGAACGACGACCCCGCATACAGTGATTACTGCAGCTGTTGGAAATGTTGATCGGTCTTCCTCTGCATGCAACACCTTATCATTACCGTGATAATCTCGTCCGTCCACGCGCATGACCATTTGAGCTTGATACTCCGTGTTGTTCACACGCAAAATGTACCCCGACTTGATCATGTCCCATAATGCAACTAGGGTCTTGTCTATCTGGGATCTCTGGGCCGTAATGTCAAAATAAACCAGGATGCTGCCTCGTGCGAGTGTCACATTATCAATCTTTGCACGTGAGAATCTTGAAGTTAGGTCTTTTATGATCGTTTTCACAAAGATGTCCTTGTTTCCTTCGACTTTTGAGAAATCGTTTTGGAAAACAAACATAACGTTTTTCATGACAGGTGGATCAAGACATGTTGATGATGACTCTGAAATGTTGACAGTTATCTGAGGCGAGTGTCCACTGCTGACCACCAGGGCAGCGTTTGGCGCCAATTGAACCCTTATTGGCGCAGGGAACATTTGATAACGTGAAAACATAAACAGAGGTGTGACCACTGGTTCGGGCCACTGACCACCCTTCGTTACCTGAATCATGGACACGCCTAGGTCTTCCATTTCTACTTGAAACTGTTTAGCCACCACTAAAAAGCTCTCGCCTCGATGTTCAGCCTTCACGATACCTCCAAACAACTCGTGCTCATGATTATAAGTGGCTACCAGTTCTCCTGCATTGAATGAGGTGCTTTCAAGCTGTGCATTCAAGATGTCAGATCCTCCAGCCAACTCGAAGTATAGTTGGGTGTCAGCATTTTTCTCTTTGGTTCCATCTCGAGTGCTCAACTCAGCTATTAATTCGAACTCGCAGTTTGTAGAGGCATTCTGGTGATCAGGGACGGTCATATGAAAGAGGTTTAAGAATCGCACCATATCCATATTTGCACGTGCTAACAGGTATGCATCGTTCCGTTCTAGAACTCCATTTAGATTGAAATCCATGACTTGTAGCTGTAAAGAGAAAGTAAAGGGTCCTAAGAGCGAAGACCTTTATTAGCTCCCCTAGGGTTAGAGTAAACAGAAAGGAAAAGATATGGCGGGAGTCTTAAAATAGATTTTACGATTGAAGGTGTGGCAAGTGATGGTCTCTTCCGTCTCATGCCATATTTACGCATCGTTCCTTTCAGTTTGAAGACAGCTTGCCAGCTTGACACGAAATTATTCTTATATCGTGACATCCTGTCGGACTTAAAAGTTCCTACAGCATTAAAACAAGATCTCAAGAACTATGACCCTCAGTTTTTTCTATGTACACCAGTGGGCAATAATAACTAAAGTCACAAACTATCCAAAATCAAAAATGTAAGGATCAATTACATGGAATGAACGTATTTTCAATTCATGTGCTTACCATTTTAGTGGTTGTTCGCTTTAGCAACATTTGCCCAAATTCACTATTGAAGTTATTTTCTACTGCTAAGCTGTACGCCAAAGCGAAAGCAGGGTCTTTGATATCAAATACACAGTCTGCGTTGACATCTCCCAGCTGTGAGCTCTGGCATGGTGTCAGAGTAGGTGAAAAGTCACCTATGTAACCCAAGTTTTGATCCATTAACATGTTTACTGTTGCTTGAATGGTAGGTACACCGTTTACCAAGGAGTCGTAAACTAGATCAGCAACATGTGAAGTAGCATTATCAGGGTTTGTCAGATCTGCTATGTGTAACTGACCGTAAGTGTAAGAGTATGCACGACTCCCCTTCAGGTCGACAAAATGGATTTGACTTTCGTCGAATGAAATCTTTACATCAAACGCAAGAAGTTTTGCCTTTCCTGGATTCACTCGGACAGGGATGGTAATTTGCTGGTTAGCTTTTAAAGCTGGTATTGCGGGGCCGTACTTCTGCCCAATATCAACACCTCCCACTGGAGGGACTGTATTGCAATAAAACTGAGTTATATGTGGCTCAGCTAGACCCTGAAGCGGAGTCACTGTCACGGTTACCAAGTCATAATAATCTGACAACAACGTGACAACGCCAGTCGTGTTATCAACCAACGCTACATCTTCCTGGCTGCTTTTGAATGCAACAAGTCCCGGAAATGTAGAGAAATTCTGCACCCTAAACATGGAGCTGTCGTTCATGGCAAAGTCCACTTGTACCTGAGCTTGCGTGGCAAAAGCAGGACCAACAAGAGTTTGATTCCTAAGCCCAGTTATTTCTACAGCTACTATTTCATTGACAGTTATTACTTCAGTTGAAACTTCAAGCCTTAGCTGACTAGAAGCTCTCCCGGAGAACTTTCCAATAAGACTTATATTCCCACTGATGCTTATTCTCTCTACAAACAACACGTTCCTCGGGCTGGGACCCACCAAAACTTTAACACCCACGTCATTGCTTACGACACTGAAGGAGGCTGATATCATCTTGGTAACGTTATAGGTGGAGTTATCCGTTAAAATGAGGTTCAGAACAAGAGCAGCTGACTGGACGTTGCCATGACGATTACCTATGCGCTTTAGCGATTTCAAGGTTACGTTTGATCTTTTTGTGGTTGGATAAGGTACAGCTGATAGTTGTAACGAAGAAAACCCAACTACGTTGATTTTTACACGAACATTGTATACGTTGTGAACACGGACAATAAGAACGCCATGACCCAGTAATCCCTGGTGGTTTGCTTCAATCACTCTCTTGCCACTAGCCGAGACAACTGAGAACAGTCCACCTGATTCTGACTTGTCATCAAATGTCAATCTGCTGTCATCGTCAGATAGCTTTTCACGGTTACCTGTTGACAGGAAATACTCGTCAGCTATTTTGTAAACTTTTAATAAAAAAATGATTGGTTACATTCACTCTTGTGCGTTTAGCTTGGCGCTTTAACATGAAGAAATATAATGCAGGGTTGTTTTTTTTTTTTTAAATGTTAAGTACATTCCCTCGGAATATTAAAACGATTTAAGCCGAATCAGTTCTGGGGAAATTTTTGGATAGCAATTAAATAGAGAATGTTGGTTAGTGAGTCAAGCCTTTTATCCTTGTAGATGGAAATTTTAGTTGAACAATTATGACAACTCGTATTGAAAGGTACACAGTTACAAGCAAAGTTTCTCCATCTGTGTTCTTTTTTCCGATTTAATGTCGTCATATCTTACCGTTTTCAAACAGCAACAGCACTGATATCGGACTACTGATTGCAACGCCAACTGCAACAGCTGGGTCCCCTGGGGGACTTATCTTGTTGATCACATCTTCAATAAGCACATCCACACCTCCACTGTCATTCACATTGGTGAGTCGAACTGTCACCTTAGCAATCGTGGAGAGCCGCTGAGCTGATGGAGCGTTGTCGCTTACACGTACAACAAGGGTGTACCTCACGACTGTCTCATAGTCCAGATCCTTGTTGACGATAATCACACCAGTTTTGGAATTGATATCAAAATTGTTGTCTTTATTACCAGCTACAATCGAATAACTGAGTTGCCCGTCCATTCCGAAGTCTTTGTCCGTGCCATTTATGTCCCCAACAATGGAACCAACAGCAGTATCCTCAGGGAGTTTTACGTAGATACTTGCGGAATGTTGTAACTGTGGTGCAAACTCGTTCACGCTCACTATTTCCAAGCTAACAAGCACCTCGTTGGTTTGTGGCACCTTACCTTTGTCCAATGCCTTGACTGTAAGGGTGTAAAGAAGATCGGCCACGTGTTGCTGTGCCTCCAGATCAAGGCTTTTTCTTACTTTTATTATTCCAGTGTTAGAGTCGATTTCAAAGAAGCCAGGAGTGTTACCTGACTTGATTTTGTACACAACTTGGCCATTTGAACCTGATGCAGAGTCAAAATATTTAGTAAATATATACAATGATTTGTTTATTTTGCCGACAGATTTTAACCCTTCAACTATTTCTTAGAGAGATCAACTCCTTATGATTGTGTTGACTGCTAAAGAGTAAGATTGTAATATTCTCCTTGCCGAGAAAAAAAACAGGTCCGGAAGTGGCACGTCAACTGATTTTCACAACAGAGGAACAGTACGTCGGAAATGCTTATTTATTTTCACAGAATGGTACTTTGCTATGACCTGGTTGCCTTAAGTAGGGAAGACATTTTATTTGAAATCTTCTGACTGAATTTCACTTCTCCCATAGTAGTTCAATTTATGAAGTGAGAAAAACTCAGCTGACCCACGCTTTAAGGCTAGCTTAACTTGAAAATTATTCATATACCTGCGTCAGTATCACTTGCTTGCACTGTGATGACGTCACTGCCCACTTTCACAGTTTCCTTGACAGCGACGTAGTATGAACCTTTGCTGAAAACTGGTCTATTGTCATTGATATCCCTTAGACTTACATTCACAATCATGACAGACGAACGTTGATCGGCTATCTGAACAGGCCAATCAGAAGCCTTTATTTCCAGTTGGTACTTTGATGTTGTCTCTCGATCCAAAGGAGCGTGAATGAATATTTTCCCAGAAGACTCGATCCGAAAACGCCTGTCCTCATTTCCATTTATTATCTGATATCTAATTTGCAAATATAAAATATTATTCAACAAACGTTTATACGGTGGGGTCCAGTGATCTCCCTACTTCTAAAGACCACTAATTATAAAAAGATCAAGGTATACCGCTAGGCTCCGAAACATGCGCGGTAAATCGTACTAATATCACACTGACTGAGCCCAGAATGTTTTTAGATCAAGTTTTTCAGGCCAAAGTTGATTCAGTGTTATTCCCTTGAAGAATACTTTCAAATTCAACCCAACAAACTCAGGTTTTTTTGTTGTCCATTTACTAAAATCAAACCAGACAAATGGTAGTTCGAATGGAGGTCATCTGAAAATGACCGTCAGCCAAATTGCTACCACGTAGTATAATTCAAGGATTCAAAAATTACTCTTAACAGGAAAGAAAGATTTAATTATGTCTACATAAATTAAAGTGAGTTCTCAAACAACCTTGCTCCTTTCAATACAATGACAAAACTTACGTTATGAGTCCATCAAGCCCAAAGTCCTTGTCCGTGGCTGTCACTTGGCATAACAGCGTTCCAACAGCAGTATCTTCTGGAATCTGCAATGAACGGCCAGGGTGAGTGAACTCTGGAGTGAATTCATTAACCTCTTTGACTTTCAACACGTATGTAGCATTGTTAGACAACTGCGGATTCCCATAATCCTTCGCCTCGACCAAAAGTGTGAAGTTGGGGTAAGGTGCTTGAGCAGACTCCAGATCGAGGCTCTTTTGTAAAGTCAGGTCTCCAGTGTAAGCGTTTAGACTGAAATAGCCGTCCGAGTTCCCAGATGTGATGACGTAACTCACACGCCCATTTTCACCTGAGTCGAGATCGGTAGCCAGGAAACTTGTAGCCTTTTCACCTGAAATATGATGCACGGAACGATAGATAAACGGTTTGGAACCAGTGAAAGAGAAGTGTTAAAAGAGTTGTTTAACGTTTTATGCGGATATAGACAGATGTTAATTTGTGGTCACGAGAGACATGAAACATATCTGAGACCTTGTAAAAGAGACATTTACAAATTCACCATACTTTACGTAAGCTAGAGCCTGTTGCTTCGAAAGTCCTGTTCTGTTTTCATTCAAGATCGCGATTTCAAAAGTTTTGAAAATGAGATAATAAAACTATCAGCTAAAGAAAAAAAAAGGACTGGTTTGGGTGCCAGAACCTGCTTTCCTATCTTTTAAATTTTGAATTTAAAACATGGCCTCGGGCGTGTTAAGTTACCGAGACTTTCGAGTAACGGGCCTCTGATCACTAAACTACGAAAAAACTTGAGGAAGATCGACTAGACAATGTATCCATATTTTTAACACCCTCAAATGCTGTTTCGACCGGCAGCAATTCGGAAAAAAATGCGAGAGAAAGGAAAAGGAAAAAAGTTACATATCTTTTCCGTGTCCTTTGCCTCACCTGAGGAAAGCGTCTCGGGCACCTGAATCAATGTGTAATTGTTTGAAAACAGTGGATGATTATCATTAACATCCTCGACATGGACCTGTAGGTCGAAGTCAGTGTAACGCGCACCACCAGTGGGGTCACTGTCTGATGCGCGAATGATCAGCCTGTAAAGAGGTGATGTCTCGTAATCCAGAGATGAAGTCAACGTAACAACACCAGAAGACCGATCAATTGCAAACTTTCCGTCGCTGTTACCACTGTAGATGAAATAATGAACCATTCCTGCGGAGTGATGAGAACAACCAAGCATAAATGAAAAATATCGTTCAAATCATTGCGAATAATCCAAGTAAAGTTCTCAGTAACCTTACAAAGTATGACAATGATTTTAAACGTCTTCTGCACAGATGGTTCAAGGTTCTGACAAAGTAGAAGTAGATCTCAATTAAAAGCCACATTGTCGCCGTTTATTTTTTTATTTTTCGAAGAATTAAAATGGGTCTCTACCTTTCAGGCTAAAAAAATCTTGACGGACCCATACAGGCTTCCCTTTGAAGCCTTGTGATTGCAACAATTTAATAAAAAATGAACCATTCAGAGTTTCGCTATGGCGAGAAATCTTTCAGCGATTTATTTTCCTCTTTTTTTCCAACGTCATAAGTGGCTTTTTACGGTCTGTGCCACAAGGAAAGCGAAGAAATTCCTAATAAAGGAATAAACAATACTGTTAAAAGCCCCAGTCAAAACAAACCCAGTCCCTTGATACTTCGTTATTACCAGTACTGTTTCTGTACTACCAGTCAGTAAAATGTTTTTATGTAGACCTTTCCATTTTACCTTGCACTCCGAAATCCTTATCGGTAGCATTCACGTCAAACAACACCAGTCCATTTCCAGGATCGTAATTTTCCTTTAAGGTAATAGAAGCTGATTGCTCGTGAGTCAGCTGAGGCGAAAACTCATTTGCAGGTGCTATGTTGATTACCACAACGGTGGAGTTACTCAGTGTAGGTGATCCCAAGTCAGTCACATGCACAGCTTAAAAGTATCAGAACAGAATTGTTTTCTCAGTAAATGAAGAATGAGTACTTCTTGCCTAAACTTTCCTATGGCACGTCCTAATTCAGATATGTTGCTAATTCAAATTGACTATGTACTAAAAAGCGCTTTTTTTCACATTTGCTCGTGTTTTTCCAAGAAAACTACAAAACTACAAATTAAACGCTTTTTTTTACATTTGCTTATGTTTTTCCAAGCTGGTTCAGGGATGATGCAGCTGCTCTAATGAACAGTTTTTCATCACGAAAGCGAATAAAGATATTGCTTTACCTAAGCTGTAATTCAGGGATGGTGGAGCTGATCCCTCTAAATCGAGCGATCGTTTAACAAGAATGTCTCCTGTGTCAGCTTTGATGTCAAAATAACCGTCAACGTTTCCTGATGTGATAGAAAACGTCAACTTGGCATTTGCTCCTGCGTCACGGTCCATTGCGTCCACACCAAGTACGACGTCATTTAAGTTTGCGGTTTCGTTTACTCGAGATGCATATCCATTTTTGGTAAACCACGGGGCGTTATCATTAAGGTCACCAATATGAACTACAACAAGGTTTAAGGAGTAACGAACTTTCTCCTCAACAGCTCCGTCGTAAGCCTTCACATTCAGGTTATAAACTGCATTTTTTTCGCGGTCTAATTTACGCGCAGTAGTAATAACACCAGAGGTCCTGTTAATATGGAAGCTGTTGTCGATGTTTCCCGCATGGAGGGTATAGTAGACATCACCCTGACTTCCAATGTCATTGTCTGTGGCATGGATAGCCATGACATAGGAGCCAATGACTGTTCCCTCATCAATATGAACTGTGCGGTTCCCTGGAGTGAACACTGGAGAATAGTCATTGACGTAATGGACCTAAGAGAGAGGAAATAGATAGAAGTTGTATGATGAGACAGGTTCGCAGAAAGCTGAGAGGGTTAAGAGAAGGTAAACAGTTTGGTGGCTCGATGGATAGGTAGGAAGGTAAGTAGGGAAGAAGGTAGTTTGGGATAGTGGGAATATATTTGATAACTAAAGGTAACTAGATACCATTGCGAACTTTAGGGAAGTGGTTTGTTTAGTATGTAAGTAAAGGGGCTGTTTTACACACAGGTATAATGAACTTGAGAGAATACCGAGGGCAGAACAACGCCTTCAATCACGATTCATTGATAACCTAATTAAACTGGCTCACCTCAAAAGCGGCTGATAGGACAACATGTCCATAGCTCGATTCAAACTTCAATACATAACCAAGGCCGTACAAAGTTACGAGGAGATCATTAAACACAGCTCGCTCCTCAACTACTGAAATATTAAATGTCCCATTCAAAAAAGACCCTCCAGGCTGGGGGTTGGCATATAATGACACAGTAATCCACCATGGGGTCTTCAAAGGTGCAGCCTTTCTACCTGTCCCCAAATCTCGAACTTCCACCACTGGCTGAGTACCAAATGGTACAGATTGATTTGCACGAGCTACTTGTGAGACGATCTCCAGATAAAACTCCCTTGGTTTTACGTCAAATGAATCAGACATGGCCAACATTCCGGAGTATGCTTGTGAGTAAGGACTGACCGACACGTTGAATTTCATTCGATAATCGGTAGCCGCATCGTAAAAACTAAAGTTTGAAAACTCTATGCGCCCTGAAACTGGTATTTGGAATTTCCTTTGGCCGAGTAGCACCTGGTTTCCAGCTCCTTCTTCCATTGAAGCTAGAATCGTCCACTTTCGACGGCGCCAACCCAGATTTCCAACCAACATGTTAGTGGCAGTGTCTCGGATCTCGAGCACAGGTTGGTGGCCGCATGGGACGGTATCATTGCAGTCTCCTGAAAAAAAGACAATACAAGTAGGTTTTTAGCTTATAGAGATTACATTTTGAATAGTTTACTTCCGAGAGTAAGTCATTTGACCATTCTCCATTAGACGGCCGCAAAACTGCAAAGATTCTTCAAAGTTGAAACTTTGTCTATTTCAGTGACACCATAGCGTAAATGCGTAAATGTAAACTTGGAAAACGTATAAAAATTTGCGTTTCATACTTTGAAAGGACGAGCCTTTCAACCGTACTAGAAATGAATCACTAAAAGATCCTACTCTTACCTGGCTGCTGAGTAATAACCAGGTCTAAGACCCTTTCTTTCACGTTAAAAGGAGTGGTGTTAGTTGAGAACTGGTAACGTGATGATGGAACTGTGAAAGCTTTGATTATAAGAATGTAGTTATTGTCCTTATGGTCGATAGCGAGATCACGAAATGACGCAACACCGCCAGAAAACTCTACACTGGACGATCCATTCAGGTTTCCTGGAGGTGGAATTAAACAAAATCGACAAATATTAGTCGATCGAATTGAAAACATAAGTCTCGTTCTTGCATTTAGCATTCATTCTCCTTTGATCATGATATCATTTACAGTCTAGATTAAGAAACTGTGTCTATGCCTCTTTAAGAAATGAGAATGGAAAACTATACTTATTTAACACAGGATATTTGATTTCTAAAAGATCAGTTAAATCGAGAGCAGACAACACCTTGCATGATATGGGCAGAAGGTATTGGGCACTAATGTCGTTTTTCAGATCTGATTTTCGCTATTGCATAAATAGCGCTCTCTACTGCGAGGATCGTGCATTATACGTAATCTCTAATAAACATCAGAATCTCAAATTTTCTTTTAAAAATAATATTTCCATCTAGTATAATTTCAGAGCTGAGCAAAGAGTTTCCAGCACTCTGATTGGTCGAGCGGTTCCTTATATGTCGCTATATAAACCGCCCCACGCGGTTTATATAAAATGTTAAAATAAAATGTTAATAAATGTTACTAAAATGTTATGATTTTAGAAATTTCTCTGTTGTTCAGCTCTGAAATTATACTAAAACAATTATTCGCCTCAGGTTCGGTGAATATTGTCGAATAATACCCGAGACGAAGTCTCGGGGACTATTCGACAATATTCACCGAACCTGAGGCGAATAATTGTTAATTAAAACAGTTGTTGGCCATAGTTACCTTTATAGTCGTGTGAATTAAGTAGCGAGGCCAAACAAATCCACTTCCTCCCCTTCCACCCGGTGTTCGTCACTAGTTCTCCAGTAGCAGCGTCGCGGACCTCAACCAAAGGCTGCTGGCCAAAAGGAACGGTTTCGTTGGAATCACCTGGGTGTCTTACTAGCGCAAAATATAATACTCTCTCTTTGACTTCAAAGGGTGTTGACGCAGATGTGAAGTTAGCTTCAGAAGGAAGGGATACTCTGTATTCCAGGACGTAGTCTGTGCCGTTGTGGCTAATGTTAAGGTTAGTAAAGTTTGCCCAGCCATCATAGCAGGGTACAGTCGTATTTCCACCCAACAAGGCACCAGGGTCCCCAGTGCCATTCTTGATTGACGCAGTTACATACCTGAAAATATTCAGAACAAAAGTTCATTAATCTCATGTAATTAAGGTATCTTAAGTTGTTCCCCACCCTCCAACTCGTCAGTGGTATCAGTTCAGACATATCCCAGTAATAGCCATTTTTTTCTCAGTAAAAATGCATTAATTATTACAAAAATCCCCCCCCCCCTCCTGTTCCTCACTAAATGTTAGACAAGAGAAGATACAGCTTATGTTGTAAAGAAGAGACAACGTTTTTACCGTTGAGGACTAAAGTTTTAATGACCTGATTTCTACATACACAAGCACAGTAGTGATACACAAAGATGAATAAATAATCTATATGTATTACACAGCAAACACAAAAGACGAATGTGAAACTATTTAAATTCAGATTATGCGGATGTCATTAAGATAGCTCGCGGCATGTCATTAAGATAGTTCTTATTATCTCAATCGCACGGAGTATTCATGGTATATAACAGTTTATATTCTCTTGATGCTAGAGCACACAGCCTCAGTTTTTCAAGGGGACAGGGGGGTGCCATTAATTTTGGGGTGAAACAATATAAGGAGAAGTCTTTGAAATTAGCATAGAAAATCATTAAAAGTATTCTTTGATTATGTGTCGAAAGTGAGTTGTCTACTACAAAATGCTTTGAAATTCTTACCATTGTTCACGGTCACTATGTCCCAGCATGGTTACGGTGCGGTTGAGTTTATCAACCATCACCAGCTTGGGTTGAATTTGAAAAGGAACAGTTTCGTTTGCACCACGAGGTTGTTGTACTATAACAAGTCGAAGAGGTATCAGGTAATCATGCGCCAGACTGGACTTGTTGCCTTCTTTCATCATTTCGACTTGATCAAACCGCCATGTTCCATTCTTTGGTCCGGCTGATAGAGAAGGTACGAGTTAAATCATTAAACTTTTTTTTGTTATTGTTGTTGAGGTTTTTTCATCTTTTATTTATTTTTAGCTATTTATTTATTTCTTTTGTACGGAGGACCTATTGCTGTTGCAGTGCTCCAGATCTCCCTAAAAGCCCATTGAATATTACCTACCATCTTCGGGTGTCGCTCGTTTCCATCCTTCCGGCAGTTTTCGTGGAGGCTCGGGATCTGTCACCTTAATCGATAAAATGTCCAAATCAAGGGAGGAAGCCATGTGCCCTGTTTGTGCTGCCTCCACAATTTTGGAAGCTATGGACTGGAGACCAATGTACTGACCAATGGGGCTCTTCGAAGGTGAGGCTGTGGTTGTCGCGGTAACAAAAGGAGGACTAGTAAACCTGTACAGAAAAAGAAAGGGCAAAGAATTATATGATAGTTATTTGGTATTTAAATAATACTGAGGTTGGTGCGCAAGAGACTTACGTGGAATTTCCAGGGGAAAATGTTTCCTCAGGTGTGTAAGAAATGTGACGTTCTGGCGGGTCGCCTATTTCGATTGTGACTGTCATCACCTCATCATCCGAAGCTCTTCGTCGTCTCCGGTTTTTCCCGGCGGCATTTACGATCTCGACCACGCGAATGCGAGATTCGTCGATATTAAGGAGTGAAGCCAGATTCTGAATTAAATTTTTTTCGAAGAAGTCATTAAAATGGACAGGCCTGCTTCCTAGAAAATACAAACAAAAAAGTAATGGATAAATTAGAATTTTGAGATCTATACATAGTATTCCTTGAATAGTCGATAAGTACAATGCTATCGTTATCCTTACATAGATACCTCAGCCCTTCATTTATTGCGGAAAATTCGGATAATAGGATTTACACAAAAGTAATTTCAACTGTTGTGACATGATATCCACGTTCACCTACAATAACTTAGATGCTCACCGAGCTTAACTTGTACAACTGGAGCAGTTCTTATGTCCAAAGGGACATTTCCTTTGACGAACACATAAAGCAGTTGGCTTTCTCGATCGTAGTAGTTGGCCCCACTGATGCTATTTAATGTCGGCTCAAACTGGCCATCCGGGAGCTTAGGATCTTTCTTTTTGTAGCTGAAGTTTTTCTCGTCGAGTTTTGCGTTAGTTGGGAATATGAAGGCGCCTGTGCGATATACGTCCAACCGCTGAGATGTGGTGTACCTAATAGCAACTCGAAGAGCTTGGGAGCTGTTGGCGTTTAGCAACATTAGGCGAAGGCTTTGCGGATTAGTGCCTGAGAAATATAAGAAATTAATGCACCGAGAAATATAAAATGTCTTTCTTTACCGGAATTAAAAACCTGCGTTTAAAGAAAGTAGGAAGAAAATGAGAAAAATATTACAAAACATTTTATCAGACCATAGCGTGAACAAAGTGGACGATAGTGGGATAAAAATTCTCATTTGGAAATTCGAAAACAAACCAAAAAATTTCCTCCTTTAAACGAATGTGTCTTGCGAAGATCAGTCCTCGTAATTCAAGACAAAAAAAGATCACGATAAAGTGTTTTCGTTTATTGAAGGAGTTTCTTACCAGTGAAATAAATGGTATAGCTTTGTTGTGTTGCCACGATTGAGAAAAATGTCGATATTCTCTCCATGCACGCGTATCCAAAGCAACAACCATGATCCATGGGTCCGTTAAGCAAATCTGTGTATCCATTGGACGATAAGGCAACTGGAGACAGCCTGCGAAGCTCTGTGTCAGCGTCCAAGCTCTCGATTATGAACATGTGATAGTCTAGGTAGACGGTAGAAATAAAAAAAGAATTTTATTTCATAATTTCGCCTTTGTTGCAATTTTCCGATGAACAAAACAATTTACGTTTTTAATTCTCACCCAGCTTGCTGCATTTGTATCCATTCCATGCAGCATTCCATGAACAAAAACTCTGCGCACGCGTTCCTCGTACAATCCCATGATGCGGTGCCACAACAGATGCGTTCAACTGCGAACCGTCTGGTGACGTAAGTAAGGCTCGAGGCATGCGGTAATCCCCTGAAATCGAATGTGTTATTCACTGTTTTTTTTGTTTCTCAAGGCAAAAATTGGTATAACCAAAAAACTACACTTTACATGATACAAGTTTTGGATTAGTTAAGTAACTGGAATTAAGTTTTCTTAATCAATTTGCCAAATTCACTTTGTTTCTAACAGTGGTAACTAACAAAAAAAAAACGCAAAACGCAAAACGCTGTATTACCCAGTCCTCTTCGCGAGTCCCCATTCCACTCGTATTCAGCCTTGGAAATGACACTTCCGCCGGAAGTACCAGTGAGAGTTCCGTCAAGATCCTTAAGCAAAACATGCTTAGCTCCATCACAATCCATATCAATACAGTCAGATGGGTTTATCCAGGCGATATTTGATGGTGGTATATAAATTAACTTATCATAATCAACATTATGTAAGGAAATGCCGCGTATTTCGACTGGATGGAATGCATCTGGGGACTTTGGATTGGTTGTGAATACCACACTGTCATGTCCACACTTGGTTCCAAAATAGGCAAATCCAACGTCAGTTAGTCTTACAACTCCCGGTATTGCTGGATAAGCGTTAATGCCGTGCCAGGCTTTCTCAGGAGCCAGGCCGGGTCCCGATGCAAACGTTGAGAGCATGAAAGCTGTGTTACCGCCCCCTTTGTAACGCGGCGCGCGGACTTGGTCGGTGATATGAGAGTTTCGAGGCGCTACCAAGTCACTCGCACACTGAAAGCTTGGACTGGTGCCAACTAGTAGAACTCGATCAAGATGAACAAACTTGTTAGCGGTTACGTGGGAAAGCGCAGGTGGTCTCCAAACATTTAGCAGGATTCCTGGAAATGGAAATATCAATCTAATGGAATTTTAACAAAAATGCAAATGTTACGTGAAAATAATTTACTGATTGCATCGTATCATGAGTGGTACCATGAAATAAAAAGTCAAATGCAGATTGATTCGATTTCAGGCAAATGTTTGAAAACAACTCAGTAATTTCTTTCAAATTGACCTTCCTAAATAAAACTTGCCTCAGGTCAGTTTTTATTTCATAAGTATTGACTCTTTAGCTCTACCAGAATTGCCCTAAAAAAGAAGTTTGCGAGTGACCGTCTGTTATGCAACCATGTAAAAAAAAAAAGGTTTGAGATAAGAGCAGTAATATCTAACCTGTTAAAAAAAAAAAACTTTATGTTAACAAGTTCGTTACCGATATTATTATCCACTACGACTGTATCCTGTAAAATAACTCGAGATGTTGGGAAACCAAACACGCCAAAATCCCAGCTTTTCCAAACGACAAAATTAGCAATCTTAAGACAATCAGGCAGACCGTCAGAATAGCCAATATGTATCCCGTGGAGGGCAGTGTGGGCAGTGTTACCCTTCCAGCCTCCATCAGGGCTGTCACCATAGCAGGTCTCCCCCCGGATGTGGAACCCAATCCTTTCACTCCCCGCTGCGGCGTTGTCTCGGAGAACGATGGAAGAGGCTTTGCTGATGTCAAATGACGCGTGCCAGAGTTTATTGTTAACTTCATGTCTCCCTTTGTAAGTTGCTGCAATGCAGAAGAAATCCACGTCACATGAATAAAGAGTTCGATACAAATTGCGGTGTCTCACTAATCAAATCTAACCAGTTTTCACTTTCGAAAACTTTACCAGTCAATTACTGGATATTCGAGAACTTTCAAGAACATTCCTAGACTTTTGTAAATACGGTTGTAGCAGCTAGATCTTTACAAGTGCAGCGAATAACTTTTCATAGTTGAGAGGCAATGGAGGTTGTGTTAAGGTGAACTTCACCGGATCGTCGAAAATGGGTATTATACAAAATCCATAGTTTGAACGTAAGAAAATAATGGTTACTCTCGCAATATTGTATCATATTAACTCAAGTTTCGATCTTTTTTTCTCTCTATGCTTATTTAGTATAATTTCAGAGCTGAGCAAAGAGTTTCCAGCTATCTGATTGGTCGAGCGGTTTCTTATATGACGCTATATAAACCGCTTTACGCGGTTTATATAAAATGTTAAAATAAAATGTTAATAAATGTTCCTAAAATGTTATGATTTTAGAAATTTCTCTGTTGTTCAGCTCTGAAATTATACTATAAAAATTATATCGCCTCAGGTTCGGTGAATATTGTCGAATAGCCCCCTCGACTTCGTCTCGGAGATTATTCGACGATATTCATCTCGCCTTCGGCGAATAATTATTAAATGTTAACTACTTAGCCTGTGATTCAAATTAATCTGTTTCTCGATCTACCTGGTGAAACGCTCAACACCGCCAAGTTACGAAGAACTTTATTATTTGTTCCCCAGACTCTCACGGATGAGCCTACTGTGTGATGAATTACGTTATCGACGACAATTAACTCGTGTGTTCCAAATACACCAATGGCGGTGTTGAAGCCATCATGGAATGAATTACCCCGGATGTAGGATGACTTCAGATTGCCAACATCCAGGAACGCCAGACAATATCTACAATTGGAAGCAAAATGCATTTTTTGTTGTCGTATGGTAATGATATACATGTACGAGCAGCGTTTAAAGTAGATTTTTACGTTATGTCTCGCTGCACGGAAAGTATATTACGCACAACATTTCCCGTTTTTCCTACCATCTTAAAACCTTGCAGCACATTGAGGAAAAATCGGTTCTTAAAACATCACCTTTGTGTATAAGATTCGCATTCGTATCTAACAATCGCGGTTTCCATTCAGTTACCTTGGATCAAAATAGTCACTCCATCCTTCCTGACCACAATGATGAAATTCCACATTCTCCATACGAAATCTCCTGTTAGATGAAACCATGCCATTAAACGAGCCAATCAACACGCGACTACCGAAAGACTGTTTCTCAAGAACGTGGCCAGCGTCATCAGCGCCCTTGATCACAATGTTTCTTGTCAGTAGACCCACTTCAGCGGCTAGAGAATAGTTCCAAGTACCCGTGCGGTACGATTCAGCGAGGTGTCTGTATTTAAGGGTGTTGTTCAGCTGAAGGGTCTTCCGATCAGGAAAGACGTAAACTGGAGAAGGAAAGGAAACCTTAATTATTTACTGGAATTAAAATTCGAGGGTCATTCTATAATTGCACGAGATGTTTAAGTCTTCATTCTAGATTTTCTCGCAGATGCAAAAGAGATCACTTATTCTCCATCTTGAACTGTGGAGACGGATTGAAAATAGATCTGTTATAAAAGTTGAGATAAACTAAAGTGTCAAATTTTCATTCATAGCTCTTCCTCTTCCACTCTTTAGGAGCCCTAAACCATTATCTGAATGCGATGTAATGTGGAGATATAGGCCGAGTACTTCGGTTTATTAGGACGATAATGTTTACCGTTACGAAACGAAATGTTGTGTCGTATGATAAGAGTAACAGCACAAGAAAGGGATAAAGTCGACAAACCGGCACTTAATTTTTCCACAGAATTTCCCAATTTTTAGATCTGAAGCAATAAACACAGTTGGTTTACCTATGGTATGGATTTCTGTGTCGTAAGGTTCATAGGAGGTTGGTGCAATCACAATCTTTTCCCCTGGATTCCAGTCCACTTCCTCTTGTAAAGAAATAATGCTACTTCCTGGGTCAGCAGTTTTACTCAGTCGCGTCCAGTACACTGTTCTATTCAGACCGTGCATTTCCAGATTCCCAAAAATAGCTCGGTGAGAGGAGGGTATCAAAAATTAGTTTAAGAGTAACTTGAAGTAAGAATTTACTCCTTTGATTTATTATATATTGGCGGCAGGATTTCATGGCATGGGAAACTAAACGAATGTAGTATGGTTGACCGAAGTTGTAGTTTTATGTCCTCCGATGTAATTGGTTAGAGTTTAATGAAGAGTGCATCAATCATAGCTGATGGAAACCAGCGAATTACATCGGAGTATCAAGCTTCCTAAAGCGACGTGAGGTCCGTTGACGTCATCTCCTGACTGGCAGTATATAGTTGAAACGTCGAGATCCACACTGAAACTGTGAAATTGGCGAGACAAACAATGATACTCCAGATAGTGGATAGCTAGTTCATCAACACTTACCAATGGCTTTGGAGCCGATGTTAGGACCACCTTGAATTGGAATGTCTGGAGTATCCCAATTTCCGTTTAAGTTTATAAGTACATTGCCTGTCATTGGTTGATCTTCCCAGCCAATGATAAGGTTTCCTTCTTCACCAATCACAATGTACGTTGCATTTAGAACAAAGTCCATGTAAGGTTCCAGTTCAAGGGTGCCGTATATGAAGAGTTTTCTCATGTCGGGAATTTCGGTATCCGCTACCATCCACCAGTCTAAATCAGACCGAAATTAACAATGAGAAGATGTATATATTTACCTATTTCGATAATAAGGTCACTTTCAGTGAGAATCATGTCGCTTACGTTTTTGTATGATGACGTCTTCACCATCTTGTGGAAGCTGTTTGTTGTAGCCTCCGTGTCCAGGAATTGTCCCATACCAGGCTTCCGGGTCTGACCATCGCAGATATTCAAGGGGACGTTTCTCAGGGGGTGGGGGTGGAATGGGTTTGACACAGTTCTTGAAAAAGCAGCGGTAAACCTATGAAAGTAAAGCGTTGCTTTGAAGCTTTTTTATCGCAAAAGGATCCACTGCAAATAGGAAGTAAAATCTAGATTGAGATAACTAACTATTGTTGTTACCAAAGTTATTTTCTGTTGAATTAAATTGGCGAATGCTTAAGTCGCAAAGTTGATTACAAGTTTAAAGATCCCAAGTTAGTCTAAACGAATAACAATCTTTGAAATGCGTTTGCTTTCGTGTTTAAGGCATGATTTAATTTCCCAGGTTAGTTTCACTACACCAGTCTCATACATGTAACTTGATTGATAAAATTCGACGTACAGTTCAAGTGAAAGGATTTTGTTTTCCTAATCAGTTTTTAGCCTTGCAAAGCGCGTCTTATTTTTCTACAAGGCTATTAAATAAATTGAACCCACCCAAAACGCTTTTTCTTCTCACATCTGAGATTCAGCGCAAAGAATCTTTATCGGAGAAGTGATTAATGATTTGTTTGTTTAATTTTTAAATTGTCGCCTAAAATCTCTAAACAATGTTACGCAAAATCCTTTTTTTTTATCTTCTTTCTTTTTATCCTTCTCGGTTTTCCTTGGTTAATCCTAATCTCGTTGATGTCCTCAACCCAAGCAGACGATTAGTTTACTTTAAGTTTCCTTCTGTTTAATGGTAATTGTCTATAACGCCAATGCGACGCGAAATATCACGACCTTTACTTTTGATAAAACATTGAACATGCACCCTAACTAATATACTCACCTGCATTTTTATGTCTAAGTCGGTGAGTCCAACTTCCAGCCTTCCTTTTCCTGACACAATATATGTTAGTCTTTTGGTTTCATTATTGTAGAACCAGTCACCATTTGACGAATTCTCTGGAGACGGTAGACCACTAGACATGTTGATATACCTGCCAGTTGTTGAAATCATATCTGGAAGCTGTTTCATGGGGTGAGTCATCCAGACGTAGTCCTGGGCACCAAATTCGTAGAATACAGCGCTAAGATTCAGAAATAGTAAAAAATATTCAGCGAATGAAAGTATGTGAAACATTACTTGCATGGCCTAACACACAAGGACCACATCATAGTATTTTCAGTTTCATCGTTACCTGTACGAAATGTTGGTGAGTTGAAGAGCGTTGTCAAAACTAAAATTATAGTTTTGTCCGAGAATAATAGTTGCCATCCAACCTTGATCGTGAGTGAGCCTCATAAACCTCCAGGGGATATGGCTTGTTCCATGTTCATTTGTTAAGAGAGCGTCACGATAGAGCAAGGAACTGGGGAATGGATTGTTCCAAGCCATACGGCGGAAACGCATGGTCGAGTCACACACACTTCCGGAAATGCCACTTACACTCGCGGAAGGAGACTGGAAACAGCGCTTTGGGGGAAGATTTGGATTTGATGGAAGAATGCTTCCACCACCAGATAAACCTGTTGTTAACAGGAAATAGTAATATGTTATACCCAATGATCCACCTTGAGTTTGCTAGCCAAAAACATCAATAAGCACTCTATCAGGCAATAGAGAATGAACTTGATCATGCAAATGAGAAATTACAAAAATGCAAACATTTGACCGTTTCTCTAAAATCTCGACAAATCTCAGTGTGTCGAATTGTTTCTGCCATGGAACATCACGTGAAATAACTGAGAATATGATTCCTTCGCATCACGGGGTGTATGAAAGCATATTATGACCAATTATTGACAACCATGATCCCTCACTGGAGACCAAAACGATAAGACGAGTAAGAACTGTTGAAATTCATGCGAGTTGCATCAAGAGAAAATATTGGGACATCAATTTCTTTTGGTTGTACCTAGTGGCATTATTGGAAAAACTCCATAAACGCTACTTTACTCTGTTAGAATTAATAGTAGGGATAGGTTTTTAAGCGATCTATTCTAGCTATTAACCTTTTCAAACAGACACTATGAATCTGCATTGCGCTCATTTCCTTACCCGTTAATGTACCATCTAGATCTTCAAATACAGCCTCGTGTTCCCATTTAAAGGCTGCCTTATTTGGTGCACCAACAAAGCCGATTTTTTCAAATCGCGTGGTAAAACCTCCTTGCCTCGCTTCACAAAATGAGCATGCACGCAGAGCAGCGCAAGAGGGCGAATCAAAATTTACAAACGTGGTTCCAGATACAGTGAGTTGCGAAGACTGTGGAGTCACGATCCCTCCCAGAGTGCATGCACCAGGACCTTCGCTTACAGCGCTGTGTCCCACCACAAGGGAGTCTTTCACTAAAGGTCCGTTGTCACCCCAAGGAGCATTCAGATTGGTAAACTCGATTCCAGCCTCAGAATTGTCTATTACTGTGAAGTTGATTGTCTGAATGGCTCCTCCACTTGTGACCTCGAAACCTTTAAGGTTATTGTACGCAAGAAACGTGAAGAACTTGGCTGGTTCTGATATTGAAGAATCGCACCTACCTCCACGCATCGGAAAGTATTCTTTGAAGATCCACAAACCATATCTGACAGAATGAGGTTAAAGGGATACATAGATATAAATTCTACATGACAAAAAAACACTTTTCTTCATATGTTATTTCTTATCCACTAAGCAACTAACATCCTTAATTCGTCATCTCCAGAATTCTGTTTTCTAAGAATTTGAACAATTACCGAGTTTTTGCCAAAGACATGCCAATTAAAAGTGGATTGATAGGTCCTCGAACTCATGATTTGAGGACCAGGCATACGGTGCAATTTTCAGTGAGTGCTGTAAAAATAAACTATGAGAGATGATTTCAACTCTAATAATTTAAGTGCCTATGAGCGTGTTTACTTTCCAGCTTTACTTAAATAATATGGCTAACATTACCTTCCAAACGAATGAGCAGTGTTATTCTGGAATTCCCCCAGAGGTGATTTCTTTGGACAGACAGAGGTGGTGAATGAAGGGCCCCCAGGGTGTTTGGGTAAGTTGTACCAAAAGCCATGGTGACTTCCACCAGCTGCAGCATTGTGACGAACTTGAAACAAGAGAAACGCAAATTCAACCAAATGTTTGACAAGAAAATTTTCTCAATGATTCTTTTAAACTTACCAGTATTATTAGGGTTTGTCACCCAGAATGTAGCTGGCGTGACGTCAGTTATGAGAAGTGTGCTGGAGGTCTGGACAAAGACTCCTAGGTTATATTGTATCGCATTTCCAGTTTCTATTCCATCCTCTATAAAGAAAGCGTGACCCATGACATGATAAGCAACATTATGTTCGACAAGTAATCCAGTAACGCCATGAATTGTCACGGCTCGGTTGAAGGTGTGATGGATTGAACAGCCACGGACGTATGAGCCGGAGACGTTTCCACTCAGGTGGAAATGAATAGGGTAGCGACCTGGAAGATATAAAAATTTAATTACGTTTCATATGGTACTTTACATCACCTGATTAAGTCATCAAAGCAATAGCTATGAAAGCTACTCACAAATTACGTTGCCTCACCCATTCAAAGATGATTCATAAATCGGAACAAATAGGCCTTTTATCCTTTGCTCTCAGATCACATTTACACTTAAATAGTTAATTCCTGGTGAGGGAGACCCTGCAGAACACAAAACATCAATCCACGTGTAAGGACAACCCAACCCCTATGAAATCTGGTTGTTCTCGTGTCGGAACCTGGCCACAGATGTTAAAGACAGAGGCTCAAATCATTGCACCAAAAGAGATGAACTAAGAAGAGCGTTTCCAGCCGCAAGATAACCAGACTTAACTCGTTTCCCCTGTCATCAACACTCCTAAATGTTTCAAGTGATCTAACATTGTGCACGTCGGTCCTCCCAGACACTCTGAACTTAATTTCAGATAAGACACTTCACCCACGACTATCGAAAGTTAAACTAACTCATACCCAGTCCAAAGGCCTGTCCAGCTTTACGGACCTCCACATAAGATATTCTACCGGTAACCAATCCCTCACTTTGCATCCTTGCGTTAATCATAATTTGTGACCCAAATTGCTCACTTCCCATTGACTTTCCATAGCGACCCTGGTAACAAGTTTGTACTGCAAAAAGGCCTGGATCAAATCCTTCGGGACATTCCGGAATGTTTTCGGTCCATTCGTCGTTTTCTGAACCTTCAACGATGACGTTTCGAGTCAAAAGTCCTACTTCTGCGCGTGTCTCTATTGTTCTTCCGGCTATGGTTTGAACAATAGATATGTGGTTATATTTTACAGGCGGGGTGATGCCAAGAGTACGTCCGTCAGGTGACAAGCTCGTTATGTTGAATTCTTCGTTTTCACGCTGGCTGCGACTTGTGGACGCAAGAACTATTTTGTCGCCAATCTCCCATGTCACAGAGTGCTTTAGAATCAGCTGAGTGTCACCTACAGTAATTAAAAATTAGTTTAGGACGGAGTATTTGATCATAACTCACTAGTAATTTCCAAAAAACATTATCTAGGGGCTCTGGGTCTCGGAAAAACACTGAAAGCACGTTAGGGTCTAAAGCTCATTGCACGACGAATTTTAGTAGTAGAGGAAGAAACACATACTCATGCTCGTATAACTTATTAACCCATGCATTCGTCAAAAACTTAATGGAAGCGTATAATTGAAAGTCGCAGCAACCATACTTTCAAATAAAATTTAATGATCTGAAATTCAATTCATTCGGCTACTGCCAAACGCCGTGTTGTCTATTTTTCTAATGTTCTTTAGAGCAGTTACAGTTTGACAAGGAATTTTTAAGGGCTTTTAATTGTTGTTTGACTGAATTGCATAAAGGTACAGTTTTCCTCGGGTTTTTCTCACAAACCTGGAACAGCTGTCTTAGCTAAGTTTGTCCACGTGATGGGCACAGCTTTCCCATGCAGATCCAAAGTTCCTTCTCTCACTGCCAAGACTTTGGTTCCAAATATGGGCAACCTCTTATTGTGCATGTGACCATGCAGTATAATCTTAGCTTTGTGTTCAAATGGTGTGTTCTCAGTTCCGACTTGCAGTTTTCCACCGTCAGTAACTAGAATCTTTTCAGAATTTAATGTTACGTCCTTCTCATCGAAAATCAGTTCTCCTCTAATCACTAAAAAAGAGAAAACAGGAGTGTCCACATCGAGAAGCATTGTCTGTCCTTTGGGAATAACAACACCATCTCCTTTTTCTGGTGGGTTTTTGTATCCCCATGTATAAGGCGACGACCACACGTCGATGTATTGAAAATCTGCTCGGTCCTGGGTTGCTATTCCCTTGTCGTCCACCTCCACTCTTACTTGTGTTTCTATCGTTCCTTTTCGTGGTCCTGTTGTGCAGCGGATTTCGGTTTTAGAGAAGTAGGTCATTTCGCAGGGAATTCCAGCAATGAAGACTTTATTTCCGTCTTTATTTGGACTAAATCCTATAAAGAGAGAGAAAAAGGAATGAGTTTCATGGAGTTAGGTTTTCATATTGTATGTTGTGATGATGTTTGTGATGATTGATTCTTAGGGAAACTTAACCAGAGCGATTAACTGAGATATCTACATAGTGGACTCCAAGAGCATGGAGAAAATGGAAAAAATGTCAAATCTCACAACATGGAAGAGATTTCCGAATCACCGACAAGGCTAGCATTTAATTATTGATGATTGTTTAATGTGCAATTTACTAAAGGTATGCACACATTTTAAAAAAAAAATGCTATGAGCCATGCTAGACTTGATGATTCAAAGGAGGAATTGTCTCATCCTCTCTTTGGTGAGGTGATTTGTCTTTTATTTTTTTTAAGGGTATTATTCTGTTAGCATTGCCAAATCACCTCCTTGTAAAGCTTTTCCACTCACCATTTCCTTTTATGGTTAGCTGGGCTCCACCACCAGTCCCACCAAGTGACGGGGTCACTGAGGTAATACGTGAGGTGAGAGATTCTCGATATGCAAACAAACCTGACTTTGATGACGACACGTCACTGTCTCCTACCACACTTACAGAGCAGTTGATATCAGGCCTGTCTGCTTGTCTTGTATATGGTGGAACCTCGCAATAAATCTCGTTCAGCGAGCTGTTAACCATCACACAAATATTGTCGCAGATTCTCACAATAGTGGATGAATCAAACCCGTGTCCTTTGATAGACACAATCCTGCCACCTCCAAGCCCGGAATCATTTGGCCAAATACTGTCCAAGGATATTTCATAAAAAAATTTCACTGGTTTTAAAGAAGGATAGGCAGCGAGTCCTTTGCTTTTAACGTGAAGATTAATATTGTAGATCCCTGCCGGACTGTTACCTAGTATGCATGTCACATGCGTTTCACTGCTGGTCTCAACACTGCAAGAGACGTTTGCAACGGTCAGCTGCACGTCAGCTGTATTTGAAGAGAAGCCGGAGCCATAAATGCTGACTGTCTTTCCTCCTTTTCCACGAGCTGGTGATACTGACTTGACATATGGAGTGATAAATGTTCGGTATGCATAACGGAGACGAGGGAAAGTGATGGAGTTTGCTGTCACTATGACCTGTAGCGTAACATTGAAATACTTTGCATGTTGAATGGAAGAAGTAAGAAATATTTTTTATTTTTTCATTTCTACTTTTCAGTACTTTTTTTATCTCTCAAGGTCAAAACATATTGTGTATGTATACATTCGTTCACTTAAAAACTGTTGAAGGATATTAGCATACCTCATAGGATCCTGGGTCGTGGGCGGAAGTCCTACAGACAACTTCTGATGACGTCACTCGCACAACACTACAATAGTTAGCTCCAATCCTCACATTGGTGTGGCCAGCGGTAGGATCAAATCCGCTTCCTTTGATTGACAATTCTGTACCGCCCATGATACTTCCCTCAGTCGGTGTTATACTCGACACTACAGCAAGGCTATTAATCATATCTGAAGCTCCGGCCTCAAACATAGCAAGGCCTTGTGGTCCGTGGTGAATCTTCAAATTATGCTTCCCTGCCACAACAGGGCCAACCCGGCAAGATGCCGAGTACTGCGACAAAGACGTCACGATGCAAGGGCTATTCCCAATCTTAATTTCCAAATCTGAAGTTTTGCTTGGAAGACCAGAACCGTATATATGGATAGTATTTTCGTCTCCGACAAAAACTGAAGGGGTTACCGAATCTATTCGTGGTGTTTTAGCATCTGAGTAAGTGAAAGTGCAGCTAGAACCACAATTGCTTTCCATTCCATTGACTTTAACTACGACGGGTAGCACCTGTGAAGCTTTCCCGGCTGCTGTTTGACATTTGAGCTGGGTGTAGCTTGATGCTAAAATCTGACATGGTACTCCGCCCACTTGCACCTCAGGGACCGGAGAGAAACCATCTCCTGTGATGGTAAGAATGGAGCCTCCCATTATGGAACCTGCCTGTGGGGATACAGTATGTATTCTTGGCTGCAGAGTAAATGAAGCATTTTGTTCGTGTTGTACTTTAATGAGGGCAAATCCTCTGTTCTTCACACGTAGATAAACACTATGAGGTGAACCTAAGTAAAGAAAACGACTAAAGAGTTGTTACAAACAAAGTTTTCGGTTTGATCAAATAACATGTGAAACCATAATATCGTGTTCATTTCTCGACAAAACATATTTTCCTTGTATCATAAATGGTGTAGACCCACTATTTGAGAGTAACTCGAATTTAAGAAAAAACAAATTCCTGTTGGTGTCAGAAGCGCACATTTCGACAACCTAAGCTGAAGTCATTCCTCATCAGAATAAAGCTAAACAACTCAACTGACGAGGACTTCGATCAACGTATAACGTCCTACATTGTTCTCCAATTGGCATTCAATTCTTACTCCAAAACAACGGCCCCATCTAACCTGAACTCAACTGATTTCTAGTCGTCACCAAGCAGGTTATTTTATCCTCTGCAGAGCTTTGAACCGTACAATCACTGGAGCCAATTTTGACCTCATTCTGGCAATTAATGAGTCCAAAACCTTTGCCTTTTAAGGTAACAAGTGTCGAGCTGGTTCCGCTGTTAGGGATTATTGAAGTCACTTCTGGTGTACTACACTTCCCAAATGTGAAACCATACGAGGAGAGGTTACTTGGTAACGGGTCTGAGGAGATGCATTTTGGTATGGCATTCGTCACACCTAACTGACAATCAGAAGAACCAGCATCCGGGAACTTAGGACTCGTCGAGTTATATGGAGCCAAAATTGCTCCAACTTGCACCCTGACGTCCACGGACTTACTCTTGATTTCCTTGACAACAATTTTTCCTTTCATGACAATAGCTCCATAAGGGTCTACTGCCCCACTTGAATAAAAGTATGTTCCGGGTAACTTAAACTGCTTAGTAAAATGGCCACTTTCACTGCGGGAGCTCTTGAACCCTTTTCCATCATACAAAGCGCTAGACGCGTCACGTGTTTGTTGTACACCATAACTCAAGCCTGACAATTCGGGACTTGTCCACTGCCACTGAGAATTGAATTAGAGTCGTATCAATATCTCGAAATCAACTATACTATTATGCTTTTCAGAATTCGCTCAGCAGCACTGGCTAAGAGTTATGTTTCCTAGGGTTTCCCTGAAGAAGGTTCATGTTTTATTTTTTCTTGAATACTACAAATTAACGATTTACCCTACCCTCTTGATATATAATTAATAATAAATTTCGCTTGCAGCTGTTGTGAATTATGTTTTATATTAATTTAGAAATTTTGATATAATTTCCGAAAAACACCCCTGGGTCAATAAATTTATCTAAGTACACACTTTTGCTGAAATGCATTCTGGTGGTTTAGGGGTGATTTGGTTTTCTCAATTTTGTAATCTCCTCTTTCGACATAAATTGCATCCTTTCAATATTTGACAACTCCGTTTGAAGCTTTAAAGTTTCTTTAAGTTGTGATGTTGTATGATCATTTAACAGGTCAGTGGAGTATCTGAACGACTTTTCAGTACCTTTATAGAGTCACCAGCGTTAATAGCAATCGTTTGTGGATTCCATGCGTATCCAATTCCGTACTCTGCGAAACAAGTATCAATTACATGTCAACAACCAAATCACAATGTCGCTCTAAGGGATGGCGAAAAAAAGATACACAAACGGACCAGAAAGTCAAGGTTGACCGTTTTCAGTTCTCTTACATGGCATATCTCCGAAAGTGCTTAGGTAACCCTTGATAAGTTGACAAGCGCGCACTCATCAGCTAGCTAGATCTAACGGATAAAGAGATCTCCCACTTATACAAATTGCGACCATCGTAAAGTTACTGCACGAGTTCCTGGAGGATAAACAGCAGAGTTCACTTACCAGGATGAATTCCAGTGTTGTCCACTTTGTGAGTGGTAGATGAGGCGTCAGTCTTACAGAGTATTTCTGTGTTTCTACTCGACAAAACGTTACAAGGAACGTCGCCAATAATTACTGAAACAGCTGAAGAATTATCACTGAAGCCACGGCCAGCTACAGTTAGAAGAGTTCCTCCAAAGACTGAGCCTTGCGAAGGAGACACACCAGTGACTTCTAATACGTATTTAAACTTGGGAGGCCTGAAACCCATAGTTGCGTTAACCGCACAGCCCTTTCCGTCAACGCAAATGAGAACGTCATATGTCCCTGGAGCATTTGCGGGAGTAGTGCATTTTATAAGTAAGTCGGAATACAAAGTCACTTCGCATGGACGAGAGCCTATTTTAATGGTCCCTTTTTGGACCCCAAATCCACTTCCCTTAATTAAAATGTCTTCGCCGCCGCTGACACTACCCTCTAAGCTACTCATTGATGAAATCAAAGGGGTAAATCCTGAGTCGTACCAGAAAGAATTTGACAGTGTGCCAATTTTATCACCGGTGGCGACAGTGACGCTGGCGTTACTAACGTCGTGGGGTGTCGTGACGCAAGTTATTTCTGTCAGCTTAATGCTGAGTATGTTACAAACAGAACCACTGATCGTCACGCTACTATTGCCTGGCATCAAACCAAATCCATCACCCGTTATAACAACATATGTTCCTCCTCCGATACTTCCTCTGTTTGGTGTTATCCCGCTCACATAAACCTCATAGCTAAAGTTGATCTGTCCACTAACATGCTTTGCAAAACCCTTATTTCCCACTTTAACGACAACATCGTGTGATCCACCAGACGACTGGCCAGCGGTACACTTAAGGGTTGTTTCACCGATACTTATTACGTGACAGAGAGCTTCACCAATAGTGACGTTGACTTCCTGTGCACTGGTAGAGAAACCACTTCCGGTTAATGTTATAAGTGTTCCTTTGGTTCCGCGTTGTGGAGATATTGTAGAGAGAGTTGGAGTAATCGAAGATGAAAATGTGAAAGAACAATTTCTATTGAAACAGCTTGACGGAATGTTGTCAAACATAACTGTCACCTACAAATAAAACAAGCCCCATGTCAGCCATAAAATAGCATTTGGATGCTTGCTTCTCACAACGGCAGTTTATGCTGGCCGCTAAACTTTTGCCGAGTTTGATAAAATCAGTTATATACTTTGATTTAGTCTTTCAACTCCTGAGAATCAATATGATTTACTTTGCGTTGATTTGCCTTTACACTTGCAAAAAGAATTTGCTCAACGGTAGAAAAAAAATGTTACTCAAAAACTACCCTGACTTGTGTTTTGAATGTTCGTGGCAAGCTTTTTTGGCTTCTGATTTCTTTCCGTTTAGAATCACTTCTTACCTGAGGCTTTCTTTCAGCTACACGCAGCATATCACCGGGGATTGGCCTCAAAAACAATCCTCCGTCATCGAGTGTAACAGCTTTGACTGACACGTTGTTTCCTGTCAAGCCGTTTCCATCGACTCTGATAGCGGGCTGATCTCCTCCTGTGGTCGCCCATTCTATCGTCCAAGAAAATGACGAACATGTTCCAAAACCTTTGACGCTGACCTTACCGATATCAAAATTGCTTTCCAGAGTGGACTTGAGGTCTTCTGCCGATATGTTGGCAGGAATGCCTAAAGAAAGAGGATAACACAGAAGACAAACAAAGTACTTTCAACAAATATCTACCGTAGAAAAAAGAATGTCTATCGCGCATTATAAAATAACTGAGAAACTAATAGTACCCCGTTTGGTCAAAAACGTACCGTTTATTGCACAGGTAAGTCACTCGTCACCGGCTAGTGATTTATAAAGCTTTCTCGTTTTCTCCCAACATTACGCTCGTAAACTGATAAAAGTGTGGTCGACTGCTTAATTTAATTGTAATTTTGGTCAGAATAATGAAGTGATCGATAGACCACCATCACCAAATCAAAAGTACAAAACTGCAAAACAGTAATATGTCAAAATCGATCGTAAAAACCGACACTGAAGGTAAAAAACGTCGAATTTATTATCAACTGGTCCTAAAAACTAATAATAGGAAAGAAAAAAGTACAGTTACCTTTCACGTTATAATTTTCCAAGAAGATGTCGAAAGTCCCTCCTATTGGAGGAGTAGCAGCTTGAAAACGTGACACAGAAATGCTTGCGTCCTCGGTGGAGTTAGTCGGCCTGAATACCGCCTGGTCGGATGTGGCGTTACCACCGACCAATATTGCATCTGCAACCTGCAGTAGCTCAAAACCAGTTCCGCAGCATGATGGAGTCATTGACACAGACCAAACACTCGGTCCCAGACTCTGCACATCCACGGATTCTATGATGTTCCCCCCTGGTTCGGAAGCGTGGAGAAGTCTTTGTACTAAAGTAGAAAAAAAGTAAACATATTGATAAATTCTTTCTAATTATTCCTGAAAATAAAACGCCGCTAAAGTAACTGATAAACTACTCAAACCTACCCATTACCGGGTCACTCCATATGAAAACGTCGTCGAATGAAATATCTGCTTTCAAATCACGTGATACACTGATAACTTCAACGTATATCTTATAACGCAAATCAGCCTTTACGTTTACATCATGTAAAACCCTATCATGAACATTTATACACAGCTGATGCCATTTTCCATCCGGGATAGTAACAATGCTGTACTTCCTCCACGACTGCTGATCAGCACCAAACTTGTCTGTATATGATATCCGGAAATCGATAAAGTCCTTCATCTTTCCTATATACGAAAAACAGAGCTGCCGAAAAATAAGTCAAAGTTACACACTATTGACAATATCGTCAAGCTCAGCTATTGTTTTCAATTAATCTGGTTTTGTGCTGTTATTTAATGATATTAGAAAGACATTACCCTGCTTTTTAAAAGAGCTTTAAAGACACCGATGACAGTGCGCCAAAACACACGAATAATAGTAAACCATGGTGCTGTAAGGAGTTATATGTAAACTCTCGACCTCATAGCCTGTCGAAGACTAGCCGTATGGCAGTCGAAACGTTGCGATCGATAAAATTTGATAGCCTGCCTCTGCATCGTGAGAAAAACGATTAAACGTCCATTAAACTAAAGATATTGCGATAAACCATAACATTTTCCATAATATTTTTCTTACTGACTGAGTGGCAGGGCCGGACGGGAAATTATTTGGCTCGAGGTCATGACTTAGGGACCGAGCGCAGCGAGGTCCGTGCCCCATGACCGAGAGCCAAATATTTCCGTCCGGCCCGACCAAAGTCAATCAATAAGCATTTTATCATACGACCAAAAACCCGATAGACGGGCACACACACTCAAAAAAACTGGAAGTGCACAACTTTATTTTTTTCGAGTCAGAAAAAGAAATTCCGAATGAAAAGCGCGACTTCTCTCATTTCTGTTTTCCTTCAAGTTTTTGCAACAAAGCGACGTGAGGGCAGCAGGGCCGGAAGGATTTTTCCGGACCGGCCCAAGTCAAACCCGTCCGGCCCTGCACACTTCAGCTTCAACTATGGTTTTCTTTGGGACTGCGCGAGCGGGGCCGGACGGGTCACATGATGAGAGAACATTACGGGACTAAACGTCCAATCGTCCATGGTCGAAAATTACTTGTCCTCATTTGAGATATGACATTTTCTCAAATGTGTCATTGGCAAACGCCAAGCACAAATTAAATTTTTGGTTATACATAAGCCATTGTCAATGGATTAATTGTAAGATAATTCATTTTTAGCATGGTTGTCAGTCAGTGATTCAATAGAATTCTAGGTCTACATCGCAGACGACATCAGCCGCGTGGCAGCCAAATAAGCTCTGTAACTAAATGATCTAAAGCCAGGTTTGCAAAACGGTTTTTATAGTCAGATCATACCTATTTGAACTACTGTGACGATGAATGTACCAGCTAAAGATGGTTTTAAGAAGGAGGAATCGTCCTACAGAATGCCACAATCATGGACAATCAAGCCAAGAAGATTTTATGTGCGAACAGAGTCAACATGAACGTCCACAGGAAAAAAATAAATTGTAAATTTTCGATAACACTTTCCATCTTATCAGTTTGATATTGTTGCGTCAGGTCACATTTTTAGTTCTTATGCCAACGTCTCGGTCTCAGTGCTGATAGCATATATTAGCATATATTAGCATATATTAGCATATATATATTTTATCCCCATCAACAAAGAAGAGGTAGAAAGGAAACCTTTTGTTTCCAATGCTCAAAGATCTCAGGGTTTACATTGTCGCGCCCGTGTAGGATTCGTTTTAAATCAGCCATTTTATCATTACCATTTTTTCATCCGGACCACATTCCAGAAGGGCGTTAAATAAAATTCAAGTTTATCGGTAACAGTAGGCAGATACGTACTTGTTCATATCGAGCAACATCGTAGCCTTGTAAGATTCTTCCCCATTTGTCCTTTGTCTGGCCACCAAAGAAAATATACTTAGGGTTCTTCAAAGAAAACCGACCGCAATTTGCTGTTTGTTTCAGCACCCGTTCACCGTATTCGGGGCCCAAGGATGGAGTTTCAAAACCGTTATAATAATAGGCGCGGTCTGGAGGTGTTTGGTAGCTACAGTGCCAGCCAATCATATCCAGGAGCTGTCGTTTGACGTCATTTTCTGTTGCATTTATGTGCATGTTTCCTGATATTCTTCCAGCCAAAGAAAGCTTCCAGAAATAGTTACCTGGGACCCCTGAGAGAAAGGGAAAGGGGCTCAATGATTAACAGTAGCATATTATTGCAGACGCATACCCAATCGCTATCTACGTGTTTCGTGACAAGAGAAGAATGGATACGAGGATGAAATGAGACGAGCGGGGAAAAGGCAAAGGAAAAGATACGGCTGTTTGTTTTTCCTTTATCATCTCCTCCTTCAAAACCTCAACCAAACGTGTATAAAAAACTTTTTTTTCGAATTTTTTGCAAATGAAAACAAAACATGAAGAAATAATTGAAAGTATAAAACAGGGCTCTTTTAGGTGCTTGCGGAAGTATTTTACAGTCGTAGGTAACAGCCTTTAATTTGTTGAACGGTGAGGTTTTCCACTTGATGCCATCGTTTTGAGACATTTTTGTTTCTTACCTTTCTGTGCTCGTGTAATATTAACCCATGTTACATTGGATCGCAACATGTTTGTGTTTTGGGGATCCTTGAAGAGAAAAGTAACTCGATAGGAAGTGGACTTGTTGTTGGCCACTAGTTCAGTTACATCAACTTCTCCCTGTTTCCTGATCCTTGTGAGATTGTTGATTGCACACTGAAGCATTTTAGCGGTCATACTGTTCAGCGGCAGTGGAACAGTATTGTCTCCATTGTAACTTAGAAAAAATACTTCCTCATAGAGAGTGTTATTCCCTGAAACAAAAGAAATGATTATCAGGAAATGCTCATAATTATAACTTTGCAAATATGATACCTGGAATCGATTAAACACGTCTATCAAGCGTATTTTAGCTGGTTTACCTTTGGTTTGCTTACAAGATCTGATGACATTCACAATTTGCACCTCAAACAATTTCCCGTCATCCCAGCTGGTAATGTTAATCACCTGGTAAGGAGCAAAGTATAGGAGTCAGAAAAGGAAAGTTTCGTGCCCCTGCGGTGAGCTAAGTTCAGACTTGAAATCATTTTGCCTTACTTGTATCTCAGGACGTTTCACGGAATTCAAGAGAATTTGCTGCTTCTCGTTTACTGCCGAGCCAGTTTGCGAATTCACGTGACGCGTGTTCTGCATTTTGACTCCAACCATCAGATGGGATTTGCCGCCACCCTGCACATGAACAGTTTCCAAGTAATAATACTGGCCTTTTCTCAGAGAGACCATCATCGACTTCTGCTCTGGAAAGTCAGACCAACTGGCTGACGCCTTGGGACAGGATGCAATTTTGGTCTAAAGAAAAGATACGAAACCATGGTGTTAAATCATGAAACGCTGAAATAATTTAACCCTTTCCAAGGGCATCAGCAGATCACATCAAGGTGATCATAGGACACAAACTTTAAATTTGTCTGACTTTGAACACCAAAAAGGGGATGGAAATGACGCATAGTTAATGATGAAACTCAATCAATTAGCCTTTGGCTTTTTTAAAACTATACAGGTATCTCTATTATAACATTCGTGAAATAAGTAGCATCATTAATTCTGTGGCAATTAAACGACATCAAGACACTTAGTCTAGTACAACTTGCGGAAGTTATTTTTAACTGGCAACAAGACAAAAAGATCGGCCTCTAGAGATTTCCAGAACATTCATCCTCATAGTTAAAGAGAGTGGCACCTTCTTCTATTATTTATCTATTTATTTAATTGTATCCATTTTTTTTATATTTACTCATTTACCTTAGCCGAGGCAGATTCGTTACCACTTAGGTATAACTCGGCCAGATCATCAGCTTGTATATAAAACGTGTAGTTATTGTCTGATGGTGGTATAAAGAAGCCTCGCAGTCGGTCACTGAATGATGTTGAACTTGCTTCGGGTAACACTTCGGAAGCCGTATTTCTCAGTCCTCCGTTTCCTGATACAGAAAACGAGCTGGTGCGGTTGCGCAACGGTACCTCACCTAATAGGCCACGATTCCCTGTGAGGTTAGGTCAAAATGATGTTTGTAAACGCCCTCGGGTAGCTTATGAGACTGAATTAATCCTAACATATTATGTATCTTTGATTTACCACTTCATTCTGGATGCAAAAAAGACTTCATTATTACGGACAGATCCATTAAGATTTAGGCCGGTAAAATTTCTCACCTGAGTAAAATTCATCGTTATCTACCAGAGGGGCCTCACTTATTTGACATTTAATAATGTCTGTTTCTATTGATTTTATTTCACAAGGTACACCTGATAAACACAACAAAATAAAGAAGGTGAGCGGATATAAACAGAAAATCTAATCGTGTCGCATGCTGGAGAGGGAATTTCTTCTGGCTGCCGAAAGAAGATACGTCAGAGTTTGTGCATCTCCAAGAAGTTATCCTTGCTTTTTGCATTTTACTAATTTGATTAATTTAGTTTAATTTAGTCCATTTTCACTGCATTAAGTTTTGCAGTGGGCAAGGACTAGAAAGGAACATAGGAACCACTTGTGCTAGTCCAC